AACGTAACGCAAATTAAACTTTTTTTCCGTGTGTGCAGAATTGTTTGTATAATGGATAAATATTTAGCTTTTTTTCTTTCTATCATATTGTTACTTTAAGCTCAAAAATTGCAATTAAGATTAATTCTTTTGTGATTTCCAATAGATTTAAAGTCTCATGTTTTGTCGCTACTTTGTTAGTAGTTTAATTAAGCCTAGAAATGTGCCGTTATCTTAATTTTCTACTATGTTAGACGCTCAACTGCATGCTAGTCCTCTTTCACCTAGAAATAACATTACATCAAAATACGTTTCAGGTTTTATTTAATAATAAAAGTTTGTAAAAAATAAAGTTTTTTGAAGTTGGTTAGTTATTATTTGGTTGCAATAGAAACGCTGTTCTCAATTACGCGATTGAAGATGACACAATTTGTGACCGTTGCTAGGTGCTCTAGAGTTTTTTTACAAATCTTTGACCATTTTTATGTCTGATTTTGATATGATCTAAGTAACAAGGAAAGCAATGCATTTTTAAGACCTCGTCGCATTTTTTAAAGTTATCCTTGAAGGCTAACACTTTCTTTTATTTCCAGTAACTTTTTGGGTACCACAGAGTTTAAGCTGAGTCTTTTTACAGTATCTGCCCGTTCATACTCTAAAAACTTTTATTTAAAAATATTTTATTTAAAAAACTTTTCATTTAATTCTTCTTTCTCACACATTAATGCTTTGAAACTTGCTTATGCTTTCGTCTTCATGTCTCTTTTTACTCATACAGTTTTTTAGTCATCTATTTTTCTTGCTTTTTAACAATATCCAATGTTTTCTGGTAACTCTCAAGTTAAATAGCGGTTGTTTCCAGCCTTTTTTGGGAGTAAACAAGTTTAAAAAAAGTTTAAAAAACACATTTGAATAGGTTTTTTTTTTAATCTATGGCATTAACTTTAATCTGATTCATTTTAACTAGTTAAGAATATAAGACGTGTACTTAAAATTTGCTTACCAGTTTGAATAGCATAATTTCATATAATAGTAGTTTGAATTTTTAGAACAAACTTGTTTTCAAAATTATGGTCAATCTAACGAATTATCACAAAGTGATTTATCTTTACGGCATTAAATAAATAAAATCTAAAGCCACATCCCCTAACTAGGAAGTTTTGAATTTAAATTTTACAGGTTTTTCAAAGTGAAACTACATTAAAATAATAATTCTTTTAAACACCCAATAATTACATAAAGTATAAGTAAAAGTATTAAAAAAACAAAAAAACACGAACAGCAAAAAATTTAAGTATTTTCTTACATAGTTCTTGGAATGTTCTCGTCCATCAGAGTTCTAAATATTAATCTTTGTTCCTTTAAATTCCAATGTTGGAACAATTGTTTAAAAATTGGCCTCCAATACTTCCTGAGGGCGTGCAATTATAATTTTTTTACCCTCGATCATACATAGGAGCAGTGGCGGATTGAGGTTTAGTGTCGCGGGGGGGCCAAGTCAATAAATAGGGGCGACCGGGGTTGCCTTCAGTAATTTAATCTTATATATATATATATATATATATATATATATATATATATATATATATATATATATATATATATATATATATATATATATATATATATATATATATATATATATATATATTAATTGTTTTAGGGGGCGCCGTTAGACCGTTCTAGGGGGGCGTGGGGGGCAGCTCGCCCCTCCCCCCCCCACGCCCTATACTAAATCCGCCACTACATAGGAGCATGTTTCTACCATATTTTTCTTTTTTTATATATACCATATTTTTTATATATACCATTTTTTTCTTTTTTTATATTTTATGTTTATACCATGTTTTTCTTGCATATTGTTAACAACCTCACTCATAAACGATGATTGATTAACGGCATCTGAGTCCGTATAATCGAGTAACATATGGGGTTGTTTAGAAGCCTGATAAACAGGTTTAATTTGTTACGATAAAGAATGGCTGACATAGCAACTACTTTGAAATAAAAATGCAGGTAATTTCTACTTTGCTTTGAAATATTAAAGAAAGATTTTAAGACAGATCGTCCAACTATATCAATGCTATTTAGAAACTTATTGCTGCTTCCACACAGTTCTAATACGTATAACAACGTCGGAACAGCTTAGGAAGTAAATAAATGAATTACTGTAGCAGGCTGGCAAAAGCGAAGTCCATTTCTTATAAGAGCTTTTACAACAGGTAAAATTGCTTACACGTTAAGTTATATTTGTTTTTTGGAGTCTTGCTATCATATTTTTCTTTTTATTATCCCAAAGGAAATAAAGATGTTTTAGATTGCTTTGAGACTTGTTAAGAGCACCGTTAATATAAATAACGTTAATATAAATAACGCTATTTGTAATTGAGCTTATTCCAGATATCAAAAGTTCAGTTTTTTCTGTATTTAGTTTAATAAAGTTCGATACTCCATACTTTTGAACAATGTTACAATGTTAGTAAGACTCTGAAAACCAGATACAGTGGAACTTTGTAAAATTATATCATTAGCATACGCAATGACACCTGTGTATACCCCATTTATTTAAGAACTTTTGATTCTGAAAAAATTTTCTTTAGAAGATTTTCAGTGTAGAGATGAGGTGACAGTATGGATCCTTGACGCACTCCCTGAGACAGCCTAAATTTTTTTGATGTACACCCAAGATATGATATATTAAAAGTACCTGTTTGATATAGTCATGATATTGTATGAATTATAGATATTCGTGAAGTTTTGTAAATATTGGTAAAATGCTGATTCCTCGATAGTTATTTGGATTTTCCAGTGATGTTTTATAAGACTTGACATTTGTTAACATACTGTTATAAAACGACAAAAGTACCATAAGAAGGTTATTACTGTGAGAGTTTTTAAGATGTTCAGCACTTATTTCATAGCAATCGTAAGATTTATTATTTTTAAGCTTTAAAATACATTTTTCAATATCAGCTGTTGACTTTTAAATTAGGCTCTCCACTTAAATGTGGAATTTGGAGAGGATTAAACACGTTACTTGTATATTGCGGCGTATTAAGTAGTTTTTGGAAATGATGAATAAGTTCTTCTACGATTTCGTTTTGCAATTTATTAATTGTAAAGAGTCGATTGTTAGTATTTTTTTCGATTTTTCCAAAATTGCCTCAAAACCTTTGAGGATTTGTATTGCATAGGTGTTTTATATTTTTATTTTTTTTTATGGATTTTATTGAATGGCATTCAATAAAATTGTATTTTATTGAATGCCAATAAAACTGAATACATTATTTTTTATTCCCCTCAAAAAACTATTGATAACATCAAAAGTAAAGGAAAAAACTGCTTCCGTCAAAATATATAAAGTATCTTGGAGTATATCTTGATCAAAAGCTATCTTGGTATAAACAACTGTATCATCTTAAAAACAAAACTTACAGGAGCTAACAATGTGCTCTCTCTAATTCGTTACTATGTTCCTATACAGACTCTTTAAATGATTTATTATTTTTTATTCTCTTCTCTTGTTTGCTAATATTGTATTGTTTGGAGTCAAAAAAGTAACTTTTTACTTAGTAACATTGCTAAATTACAACGTGCATCTATTAGAATAATGACTTTTTCACCAATGAAATCTGATATCCAAAAAAATATTTCTCAACTAAAATTCCTTAAACTCCATGATCTTGTAAAGTTTTACAATTGTCTTTTTGTATTTGATTTTCTCCAAAATAATTAAACTACCTAATTCTTTTTTATATTTCTTATCAAAACAGGGGTTTTATCTTTGCTTTATTAATTATTTATTTATATTATATTTATTTATTACTGTGTTATTATTACAACATTTTTTGTTATTATTATATTTAATTATTATCTATGATATGTACAATTTATATTGTATTACAATTATTCTTAATATTAATGATACTTGTATTATTATTGTTATTATTTTGTGTTATTACTTTAATTATTACTAATATCATTATTATTTGTTTAACAATCTTTTTTTTTTCTGAGAATTTTTTTTTTTTAGGAATCACTTCATTGACTAGTTTGTAACTATATGAGTGACACCTAACCAAATTTTGTTAATATACAATGAGCATTTGTAAATTTTTATTGACATGGTTGAATAAAAAAAACAAAAAACGTAGTACTTCTTTCTAAATAGTCATTTCGTTTTCTTACCGTATTAAAGGTAAATAACAAGGTAAAGTCAATAGTAATACATTTTTATTTACAAGGATCTATCACTATGTTTAATATTTCCAATCCAAGAGCACAAGACTTGTACAGTGCAAAACTAATTCCGTTAGGGTTTATATATATATATATATATATATATATATATATATATATATATATATATATATATATATATATATATATATATATATATATATATATATTATTTCAGCTTTTGAGATAATAAAGAGTTAGTTGATGTTACATTATTTATTTCTTTATGATGAATCAATTTTCTTTATGATGAATCAATTCTCTTGATTTTTTTTTAATAATCTTTTTTAATCTACAGACTAAATGACATTTTCTCCTATTTATTTTCTTATTTCAAGTATTTATTTTCTTGTTTCAAGTATTTATTTTCTTGTTTCAAGTATTTATTTTATTGAAGAGTCATAAATGTCTTAAAAACTATTTCACACATTTGAGCAAAACCTCACACATTTGTGAAATATGTTAACACAAAAATAATTCATTAATCAATAGCAGTAATACAAAACTGTTAAAGTTTCATCGATTATTTTTGTTTTCACATACTGTAATATCGATGCAATACTAATAATTATAAAATACTTGGTATGAGTAAGGTATTCCAGGGATACAACTATAAGATATATAACTAGTAAACATACAAATAGCTGCTATACGCACTCATTAAATATTCCTTTTTATAAGTTTATAGATTTTACAAACTTTTCAAAAAACAAAACTGGTGAAAACGTCAGCATTAACTAATCAATGACCATAAAAACTAACAGAATAAAAATACAAAAACTTTACAAATTGTAAATATCTTCTTTTATACAATCAAAAACAATTTCACCTAGTATATCGTAACCCTCCGGAGTTGGATGAACCTTATCAGTAGACCATAGCTTTTTTTGCATGTCCCAAGGTAGTGAACTAAAAGGGAACTTTAGCGATGTATCACAAAGTGACGTCATGTCGTCAACCATTTGTCTTATTTTGTAATTTGTAAGCATTCGCATTGCTTCAAAAGACCTCTCATCCATAAATTTAATTTTTTTAACTAAGACATGTGCTTCTAAAATTGTCATGGCAACCGTTTTAATGTTTTGACTTCTGGCAATTTCATGCAAAGCGCGAATTTCTTCAAACAGATCAATTGTGTGTAAGCAATCTAAAGTTACCAAATCGTTGACACCCCCTAAGATGATTACCAAATCGTATCTTTTAACACTTAGTTCACGTTGTAGACGTGCATACATTTCTTTATGTACTCTTTCTCCACCAACTCCTTTTGAAGTTACTTCAACTTCGTCACCGAACTGTTGCTGTAATAGTTTTCGCAGCTTATAACTATATGGGTGAAAGTGTTTTGGAACACCGTAATATCCGAGTGTAATAGAGTCTCCTATACAAAGTATTCTTTTCTTTTTATCCAAGCTTTCTTCGTCATCTTCTGTAGTTACCAGCAGTCTACGTTCAGGTGCATATGTCTCTGCTACAGAAGCAAACTCTAACTCAAGTGATTGAATATTTGAAGGAAGTTGAGACAAGATAAACTTAAAAATTGTTGTTAAGTAGAAAACATGCAAACCGCAACTCTTCATGCCCCATATTCTTCTAAACTTTAGCAAAGTATAAGTTTACAGCCTATAAAACTGTTATTCTAACATACAAAGTACACGTATAGAAAATTTAAAAATGTTTTTTTATTATTATAAAATTTTAATTTTTTTTCTCAGAAAATCTTATATTTAGGCGTTAAAAGTATAAACGCAATTACTTTTTATATATAAGTAATTTTCTGTTCTGAGTATGCTAACCAAGAATTGTTGAGTGTGATTGGCTACAAATTAAAGAAGAAAAAAAAAGCGATACACTGCAGTGCGTGCGTTGTCTTAAAACTTCCAAAACAGTAATGTTAACTTTCAACAAACAGAGCACCATCCGCACTTCTTTTATTTTGAGAATAATAACAGTTGCAAAAAATTATTAATAAAAGTATTTTTTTTTAATTTAATATTTAACTAAAATATAAATATATATAGATGTGTGTGTATATATATATATATATATATATATATATATATATATATATATATATATATATATATATATATATATATATATATATATATATATATATATATATATATATATATAACTTATTGCTAATATAATAACCATGATAAGTTAAACTTAATATTCTATCATAATAAGTACTTAAAAATTAAATTAATAAATACATATGAATGAGAATTTGAATTTAAGTTTTGAATGAGTTTTTGATACAAAAGACTGAAAATCTTGGTTGTATGATTGTTGTTTATTTCATTAACAACTTAAAAAGTTAAGAGTATTAAAAGATACGATTGCTACAGAAAAATATTTTAATGACAAAAATTTCATTTTCTAAGCTGTACTTAAATCGACTGAGGGTTCGATTTTAGCAAACAGTCTAATTGAAAAAAATATTTTCTCGAGTTTAAAATCTAAATTTGATTTTTGCTTTTTAAACATGTTTCAATCTTAATTCAACGCTGTTTTGATAATTCCGACCTTAGTCAAGTATCAGCCCTGTTTGTTTACAAGATGATGCTATGTTAAGCATAGAAAAACATTAATTACCAAGTAAACATTCTAGATGTCTATAAACGTCTAAAATAGGTCTAGATTAAGACGCATTGTTAAAGATGTCTTAAAGCGAGTTTCCACTCATCCGTTTTTTTACGGGAACGGGATAGAAAAGGAAAAAATAATCACGTGAGCATGCGTAATAAAATTGATTATTTTTCCGTTCCTTTTCACTTTTTCCCGTAGAAAAACAGATGAGTGGAAACTCACCTTTAGATATCTTTAACAATGCGTCTTTTTGGATTGTTAAAGACGTCTGCATTGCATACATTTTTAAAGACGTTTTAGACGACTTTAAAAATGCATCTTTAACAACATTGTTAGAGACGTTTTAGACGACTTATATTAGACATCTTTTATACAAAAAGATTCATACGTCTTAAACGAAGATATCAATTTATATGTGTTTTAAAATTTTGTGTCTTCAATTTAATGCATTTGTGCTTATTTTAAAATTACAAAATTGTTTACATTTGCTTTTATGTTATGATAAATTTTTGTTTGTAGAGTTTCATTTTGCCGGCCAATATAAATCCTATTATAAGTTTTAAATGAACTATTTAAATTATTGCTGTAAAGAAAAAAAAACATTTTAAATTAATTTTTGTTGATTTTACTGTTTGTTTTTTTTTAATATTCCTGCTCTGATTAAGGAATCAAAGTGTTTCAATTTAGAGTTGTTAGTTCTTAGCCTTGGCCTAGGCCTCGGCCTTGCCTTATGAATAAAAATTAAGGCCTTGGCCTTGAAAATTTTGGCCTTGGCATTGATTGTTTTGGGCTTGGTCTTTAAAAAAAATTAAAGAATTTAAAGTTTTCATTCTTTATTTTTATGTATTTTTGTTTTCGACCTTCATATATATCTACAAGTATATTTTCTTATTGACTTTGTTGAATTCTGCGCATAACCTTGGTCTAATTTTTCAACATATGGTTTTGTTTTCACAGCACTTGTTACTTACAGTTTTTTTAATAACTGGCCTAAACGTAAGGGATAAATTGAAGCGTTTGGTCTTGAATATGTTTGCGTAGGCATTGGCCTTAAAATTCTTAATCTTGGCCTTGACCTTAAAACTCTTGGACTTTTCCTTGAAACTTTTGGCCTTGGTCTTAGCCTTGACCTTGTAACATGTGGCCTTAACCTTGGCCTTGGCCTTGCTACTTTTGGCCTTGTTAACAACTCTGGTTCAATTTAACCGTTTTCCTTGGTTTCCTTGATTGAAACAAAATGGTGCTTTCGCAAAACTGAATTGATTTCAAATAACAGTTATGTTTAAACAAAAAAATGTAATGGTATCAAATTATGGTCTATGGTATTTTAAAGTTGCTGTTTGTATTAATCAATTGATAAATGTTTTCATAGTTAAGCTATCTTTGATTAATAAATATTAATTCCTTAAGTTCCGATTGTGGCAAATCTTCCTTGTTTCTGCATCTCACAGTTTGAACATTTAAATTAAAACATTTAAAAGAAAAACCTTACAACTATATTAGCTAAGTTTATCTCCATAATGTCATAATGCAATCTCCATAAAGTTTATCTCATTTTAATAATGATAAAAATAAATAATATTAAATTCTACTATGGCCTACTCAAATAACACGGCCTAATTTGTTGCACTTCCTGTAGAAAAAAGAGACCAGTTTTTTTTACGCCTTTTGTTTAAAAGCTTGTGTTATTGGTTATGATTCGTGTTTGCACTACGAATGTTTGATTCATATTTTATTAAAATGATGAAATAATACTTTTTTTTTTTTTGAGTACTTACATTATGTTCCCACCAGAATCTGAAAGTCCTAAAATATTTTAAAATGGAGGAGCTTTTTTTTTTAGAAGACGCAAATGTGATGCAAAATACAAAAATATTTCAACATCCCACCTCTCCCAAAAATTCTTGGATGCGTCACTGATATAAACATACAACATAAGATAACCTAACAAGATAACATGTCGTTAAATCTATCTACAAGTCACTAAGTCTACTTTACTTGTCGCTAAGTCTACCTACAAGTGGAAAAAAAATAAAAAAATTTTAGTTTTCTTTTTGATCCGTGATCCGTATTTGATTTCCTAATTTTGGTACTCTTTATAATAACACGTGATCCGTGTTTGATTTCCTATTTTTGGTACTCTTTATAATAACACGTGATCCGTGTTTGATTTCCTACTTTTGATACTCTTTATAATAACGCGTTTTGATTTCTTATTTGATACTTTTGGTCATGATGATTGCTACTAATTAAATTAACACTGCTAAAATAAATTTGTTCTTTAAAATTTATAATTGAAAAAGAATGACTGTAATATTTGATTAGAATAGGAGACATGACATCTAGAATACAAAAAAGTTGATGAATAAAATCAGAAAGAGATCTATTCAGTTGCGTAGCGACAAAAAAAGGCCTTCCCGAAAAATTTTAATCCGCGCCCCTAAATTACTTCTTTGCTCAAACACCCATAAGTGCTGCTATTATATTTTTAAATGAGCAACCTATATCTTAATATGTTATTGTGGAAACAGGTAAAATGCAAAAACTCAAAAATTTTTAATGTGTAAAATGCGGGAAAAAAAGGGCGGAAAATTTCTCCTTACTCTAACCTTGTCGCTGTCCCAACCTAAACACTTAGTCAATGATAGTGGATTCTATCTTCTTAGTCTTTCGCTGTATAACCGATGTCTCAAGCTGCAAGTCCATTTTGTTGCTTTGCATTAAATAGATTCAACCATGGTTTTATAAGTTTTATAAGAAGCCCAAATAGACACTGTACAAATGGTCCACAGTATTGAATTCGGAACTGAGTTTTAAATAAGATCTTGGAATAACAAAATTATTAGTTAAAACTTTGTAGGGTATTTATGAGTAATTTTGGTGAATTAAGAGTGAAATATATAAAGAGATAAACCATGTTTTGACTTAAACATAAGATGTTTAAGTCAAAGCTATAGATGTTTTTAAGCTTCCCATAATTAGTACTTCCCCATGCAGTATTGCAATAGGAAAGATAACTATGAATAAATGAAAAATATTATATATATATATTTTTCAATATTAAGAAATGGTTTAACTTTATATAACATTGAGATACTTTTTGAGATTTTGCTTTCAATAGATTTAATATGATATTTCCATGATATATTTTCATCTATAATCACTCCTAGAAAGTTAACCGTTGACTCTTTTAATAACTGTTTTATTCATGAAGAGATAAGGTAATTTTAAAGAAAAGTTATTTCCCCTACTGGGTTTGTGGAATAAAACAAATTTAGTTTTCCCAACATTTACTGAAATTTTATTGTTTGTAATTCACTCATTTATTTTTAATAATAATTTTAATAATAATTTTGATCTCTGGGGAACACCACAAGTTACTATATGATTTTCTGTTTCATTTGCTGTATATATTATGTACTGTTTTCTGTTTACAGATAACTTTTAAACCATAGTAAGTTATTGTTTAGTATTACATACAGTTCTAGTTTTTTTTATAAGAATATCATGGTTAACAGTGTCAAATGCTTTTGACACTGTTAACCATGATATTCTTATACTTATCACTGTTAAGCCTGAAAACTATTTCTATTTGATTCTGTTAAAAGTTATGCACTGAAAAACTGTGATCTTTTTTGGTTTGTTTATTATTGAAATTTAATTTTATATATTTTAAAAAAGTTTAATTTATGGACGATCCCTATCTTTTTTATTATATTAATTTTCAAAGTTTAAAAAAAAAGTAGTTAAACTTTGAAATGTGATACAAAACTCGAAAGAAAATTTTAAATATATAATTTAAAAAAATGGTAGGTCTAATAATAATTTTGTATCATTAACGATTCATTTGTATCATTAACGATTTTGTTTTAACTATTTTTTTAAATAATTTATTTATTAACTATTTTTGTATATTATATATCTAAAATTTAAATTTAAAAATAAAATAATTGTGCTAATGATGGCTAACAAGTCTCTAAGTGGA